TATGCCAGTTACGGTACATAAAGTGCTCTGTCATGGCAAGGTTGTAATTGATCATTGCATACTTCCTATCGGCCAATTATCTGAAGAAGCCCAAGAATCGAGAAATAAGGACAATAAACGCTACAGATTGCAGTTCACGCGAAAAAATTCTCGAACCCAAACAAACAACGACTTATTAAAAAGACTTCTAATTTCGTCTGATCCATACATTTCTATCTTAAGGAAATCTCCCAAGACCAAGCATGGAGCCATTACTCCAGATATATTAAAATTGCTTAAAAACCCATTATTAAATATTGAATTTGATGAGAGTTAAGTCAATTTGCAAAAATTCTGTCTAATAAAAAACTAATTTAATAGTGTATTTTGGTTTTTCATTCATTTCCAATGTGTGGTTCCTATGGGAAGTGGGCGTGGCGGTGGGCGGATTTATACAATTTTTTGCCTGAACGTACTTTTCGTCACGAAAATGATATGTGCAAAAATTCATAATTTTATATCTATTAGTTTTCAAGTTATGATTTTTGTCGTCCTAATTTCGAATTTCGTACACTGTGCGCCGTCGGATTTGTTTATTTGCGTCACCCGAAATTGGCTTGCGTGCGTTTGCATTTGATTTCATTGAGCGAAACGTCAAATCAAAATGTCACGCAGAACAAAAATTGGAAATTGAGTTTGCTTCATACGCACGCCGTTCAATTTCGGTTGGTCCCATACAAGTTGTATGTGCATGAGAAATTTTTGACAGTAAATTGGCGGCGTGCGTGAATATTAGGTTAGCCTGTTACTCCACCAAAGTAGGTACTCTACTTTCTCTCATCGCATACGAGAGATATTTGCTGCTGCCAAAACGGAGTAGCAAATCTACTCTCTGTATACTTGTTGTACTGTAAGTACTTGCGTATTAAATTTAAATTCTGGTTGTTAGCCTACTAGTTGATATCGTTTGCGGCGCTGGTCAGTAAAATTGAAAGAGTAAAAATAGAATATGGAAATTGACGATGTAAGGAAATGTTTACGGCCTTATTTATAAAAAATAACGTAGATTTAGACAGTTGTTTAATGTGACATTTTCATAAAACTTTTGTATTCAAGCAGCTTTTTAAATCTATGTATGTACTTANTAAAAAATAACGTAGATTTAGACAATTGTTTAATGTGACATTTTGATAAAACTTTTGTACTCAAGCAGCTTTTTAAATCTATGTATGTACTTATATTTTTATGAAAGTATTATTTCTCGTCTCTAATTTTCTATAAAACTATTTGNGTGGCAAATTTGAAAAGTGCCGACTTTCACATTCGATAGTTGGACATGGTAGCGACGAGATGTACGAGCATTTTTTTCTTAAGAGCTGCATACTGATTTAAGAAATTTTTTATAGAAGCAAATTTATTTTCCATTTATTTTGCGTAATCCTTACTAATATTATAAATCCGAAAGTGAGTTTGTTTGTTTGCTTCGCTTTCACGCCTTAACTACTCAACCGATCATCATGAAATTTTGTCTACTGCTGTCATTTAGCCCAACTTAAAATATAGGATAAGTTTAATGTCGATTAGACAAGGGGGCGTGGCACCTCCCATACAAACGGATTTTTTCA